TACCATCCAGCAGCACAAGCATTTCACCATTCCCCTCCACCTCCCCTCCCACAGACTGAGAGAAGCCGCCCACAAAACCCTCCGCTCCCACCTGCACAACCACCGCACATGGGAGGACACCCTCCACTCCCCGCCAGATCCAGCAGACCTTCCCTGTGCATGCGATCACCTTCGCACCCTCCTGCAGGATCCCGATACCCCTACCATCAACGGCCACTACATCCTTACACTTGACCAACTCCAACTCCCTACACACCTCAGCATTTTTCTCAACGCCAATATGAACAGCACCTATTACCCAAGCAAAGCTCGGTACTTCCTCATTTTCAAGACGGCCTACACCAAATGGCTCAAACTACAAGGGCTTCCACCATCCCTCGTTCAACACCTACAGCCTTTCCTTGAGCACCAATGGCGCCTTCACAACACACACCTAAAGCAGCAACCCCGTTTTACGGCCCGCCTGCTTCGTCAACTCCAAGAACATTTGGGTAAACACACATTACTCCACCATGCCGATCATGAGCTCCAACAACTTCGGCTGTTTTGCCCTCGCCAATACTTCACTGGCGCCTTGAACACCTGGCAATCCCCCGAACTTTTTGAACCACTTCCCTACATCACTGCCGCCAACATCCATGACCACCTGGCCGCCACTGTCCCCCCCATCCTGCGCACCCGCTACAAGTGGGGCTTCCGAAAAGACTTCAACATCCCCTACGGTGTTGTCCACCTCAAGGAGAAGAAGCACTGGCAAAAAGGCCGTACAATTATATCCTACTTCCAATCACTAAGCGGCAACTTGCTACGCATCACCAGCCGTGCCCTGGACATTATCCTCCAACACCTCTACCCTCAGCATCCAGGTCAAATGTCCATTCCCCAACTTTGGCACCACTTTCACAGTTACCTCACCCAAACCCCACCCGACATCTCACTACACGCCACCAACGATGACCTGGTCGGCTTTTTCAACTCCGTCCCCCAGCACCGACTCATCGATGCAGTCCACTCCCTTGTCCTCCACTGGCAACAACAGCAATCCACACACACCTTAACGGTGGATGTCCAGGCCACCGGCAATCCTTTCCACCACTCCCACATTGGCAGACACCATCGCAAACACCCTACCCAACGCACCATCCAGACTTCCGACATCACCACCATCGTGGCTTTCGCCCTCAACACATGCATTTTCCGGGCTTGCAACAACACTTACAAACAAATCCGAGGGGCCGGGATTGGATCCCAGCTCTCTCCAGCCCTATGCAACGTTGCCATCACCCTCATTGAGCACTCCTGGCATCAGATACACAACAACCTCCTTCAACACACAGACCTCCACTTTACTTACTATCGCTATGTTGACAACCGTTTCATTGTCCACAACGAACATTTCCTTCAACACCCGGCTATCCAAACCCTTATCCACCACAATTTCTTTGGCGACCCTGTGGAACTAGAACCGGTGGAGGATTTTCATCTCCTCGGTTTCAACATCGACCTCCCACAACGCACTATCACCTACATGCAACCTTCTCAACCCTGGAAAATCCGGGATTCCACCACTGCCGGGAGCCAGCGCTTGGCTCTATCAGGCCTCCAATCACGACTTCACACCATTCGAAAATACACATTTCCACCCTCCAGCGCTGACGCTGCTGCGGCCGAACTCGTGAACCTATATGTCCAAAAGGGGCATAACTACCACGCCTGCCACCGGTTTTTGAAAAAAGCGCCGAATGCGGCGACCTGTGTGTGTCCAACCCTGGACAAAGGGTTTTCCACCACCACTCTTTCTACCCTACATGAGCAGGGGGGCAAGGCCTCCGGCGACAAACCTTGCCCAACGAAGCTACGTCGCTGGAGGGGAAGCACCGAGAGACGTCTCGGTGTGTACCTGCT